CACTTAATGGCTATGTGATCCTAGGAAAGTCACAGCACTGAAATCAGTTTCATCATCCGTATAACGGTGATCATACTTCACTTTAAGCTTATGAAGATAGGTGTAATGTGTAGAAAGATACTTGTGAAGCTCTCAAACAGCTGGATCCTCTGAAATGAACCAAAACCAAAAATCAATATGTGAAGAAGATTGATGTAACAGCTATCTCTACAATAAGCTTATAAAGTATTTTATAATACTTATAAATACATGATATTTGCATAATTAAATATAGTGGTCTGAACTTGGGAGATCTGGAGACTCTTCAAAAGAAAAATGAAGGAGTTGGCTTGGATTTAAGCTCTTCAGGACTAGAGACTGTGCTACTCATCTTCTTAGCCATGTTGCTTTTTACTTCATCTGATATGTGGAGATGCTCCATACATACTAAATGAAAACAGAAGATTAATATTAAACCTTGGAAAGTTGATTTCTAGGGCAATTTTTAAAAAAATCTTTCAAATATAGTAGAAGGAGCATAAAACTTCCAAACTAATGGGGGAATAGAAAATGGAACAATAAAAATCAATCCAAAATAAAGAGTGAAAAAGAAATGTAGCCAGTAAAGAGAACTGTAAGTACATAAGAAGGTGGTTATTTAAGTCCATACTTATAGTAATTACATTAAATTGCAGATGGTGTGAATTCCCACTTAAAAGACAAAGGATGTCAGACTAGATTGAATAGAAAACCAACATATGCTGTTTATATGATATATATCTAAAATAATTATGGCTATATTTTTAAAGAGTACTTTTCTAGAAAGACACAGTGACATATATATGGAAGTAATAAAATGGGCTTTGCTTTAAAATAATCTAGAGTGAGGGTGAGAAATAGGGAAATAGGAGTATACATGAAAGAAGGTTGACCATGTACTGTTAATTAGTGAAGTTGGAGGATAGGCACATGTAAGTTTTACATTATTCTTTCAAATTTTGCATGTGTTCAAAATTTTCCATAACAAACTGTGACCAAGTTTGGACTTGTCTTCCAAATAATGGAAAGAAGGTTTAACATTAAATTGACAATATAATTTGCCACATTGACATATTAAGGAGAAACATCTTAGGATCATTTAATAAATGCAAAAATGACTAAATCTAACATGAATTCATAGTTAAGATTGCTAACAAATTTGGAATAGAAGATAATTTCCTTAATTTGATAAAGGTTAGCTACTCAAAAAACTATACCAAATATCATGTTTAATGGTGAAAAACTGAAAGCTTTTTTTTTTATATTGGGAACAAGATAAGATGTTCTTCATAACTACTCTGTTCAAATTGTATTGGATGTCCCATTCAGTTCAATATGGCAAGCAAAAGAAATAAATATAATGATTGAAAATGGAAAACCTCATTTTTCAATGATGATGTAATTGTATATACATGACTAAGTACACAGAAAATCCAAAAGAACCTACAGATAAACTATTCCAATTAAAGTTGATATAGGTTACTGACAATAAAGTCAACATGTAAAAATCAATTATTTCTAGTTACTAAAAATGAAAAAGTTTTAAAAATACTATCTACAAAAGCATACAAGTATCAAATACCTGAGTAATAAAAGATTTACAAGACTTCTTCAGATAAACTAACAAAATTAATGAGAATAATCAAAGAGGACCTAATTAAACAGAGATTTACATGTTATAAATTGGTAGACTTATTATTTGTGAAGATGTGGTTTTTTTTCTTAAATTAATCTATAATCAGTGCCAATGCAGTCAAAATTCAAAGATATAAAAATCAAAACTGATTCTAAATTTTATCTGGAAGTATGGAGGTCAAAATTAAGCCAAGACATTCTTAGATATTCTGTTATCAAAACATATTATAATTCAAAAGAAATTAAGATAATGTGCAAGTTGGGTGAAGTGGTGTGCACCTGTAATCTCAGCTACTTGGTAAGGCAGGAGAATTGCTTGAGCCCAGGAGTGCTGGGATTACTGGTGTGATCCACTATACCTGGTCACCACTCATCTTTTTAAAAAAAGTGCACATAGTATATTTGTTTGATTCTTTTACTATATTTATATATCATTATATTTGAAGTGAGTTTCTTACAGATAGTTGGGGCATTAAAAAAATTCTGACAATCTCTATCTTTTAAATGCAATCCTATATTTAGACCATGTACATTTAATGTAATAATATGTTTATATTTAGGGCTATAATTTTAGCATTTGTTTTCTGTTTATGAATATTTATTTATATTTTTAGGCTTGTGAAATCCTGAGCAGAGAACCCAGTGAGTCCTGCCCAGACTTTTATAAAACTGTGAGATAATAAATTTGTGTGGTTTGAAGCTGCTGATTTTGTGGCATTTTGTTATGCAGCAGTAGAAAATTAATACATGTCCCTTCCCACATTAAATCAGTGCTGGCCTATGTGATCAAAACAATATGGAGGAAGTGATAATATTTGACTCTGAAGGCTGCATCACACAATCATCATGGCAGCCCTGTGAAGAGGCTGATATGAAAAGGAACTAAATCATTCTGCCAAGAGCCAGTGTCATCTTCCAGCCATTTGAGTGAGCCCCCTTGGAGGTAGATCCTCCAGCCCCAAACAAGTAAGTCTTCAGATGTGTGTAACCCAGCCAACATCCAGTTGAAACCTCATGAGAGACCCTTGGCCAGAACTTCCTAGCTAAGCAACTCCTGAATTCCTGACTCCAGAAACAGTAAAAGGTAGTAAACAACTATTGTTTAAGCCATGACATTTTGGGATACTTTTTAATGCAGCATAAGATAACTCATAAATGGGCCTATTGTATGTCTACATGACAAAGGTATAGCAATGAATAGTCAAGTGCCCGTGTCATGCAGTTTTTATTCCACTTTAAGGGAAGAGATGGAAACTGTACAAATAGTTAAACATATACTTTATCCGTTGGAATTAAGTGCTAAGAGAAAAATTAGAGTAAGAAGTTGAAAAGTGATAGTGAAATTTCTATAAGACCAAGGAATACCTCTTTAATAAATAAAAATTTGAGTGGTGACCTGAAGTGAGGAATCGAGCCACTCACATATTTGGGGGGAGAACATTCTAGCAGAGGGAGCTTCAAATATAAAAACCATGAGGTGAGAGTTTCCTTAGTGAGTATGAGGAACTGCCAAAGACATGAAGTTTTCTCTGTTGAGTTTTAATTGATATACTTCTAGAATGTTTGAGATGAATGTCAGATTAAATACAGGATGCCCTGTTAAATTTGAATTTCAAATAAACAATAATTTTTTTAGTATAAGTATGTGTCGCGCCCGCCTCGGCAGCAAGGAAGACGCGGCAACCGGAGTTCTTCTGACCGTGCTTTAATGGGGTTCCCTTTAGGCTTACATGATACGGAAGACCCTGAGCACAAGCTCTCACACACTTATATACTCTAAGGAAGGAGGGAAGTGATGGGGATAGGTTAAGAGCGCGCGAGGGTTATTACTGATAGGCCAAGCTAAGATCCTTCATATGCATACTTGATGAGACAGGAAAAGCCCCTACACCTGCGCGGTTCACCCTGTTTATCAGTCCTGTAGTATCGGCGTGACCAGGAAGCCGGCGCCATCTTGCAATGGCGTTAACACCGCGCCCCACAAGTATGTTTTAAGTATTATAGGAGAATATTTGCTAAACAATTATTATTTATCTTAAATTCAAATTTAACTGGCGGTCTTGTAATTTTACTTGGTAAAGTAACTAAGATGATTACAGAAATGGAAAACATATCTTTTCAGAGGAATGATAAGGGAGTTAATATGTATATTCTGGAAAAGAGAAGGCTAAGATGATGTTTCCATCTCCACCCCTAAATTCAAGCAACACAGTAGAATTGAAAATGCACAGTATGGGAGCACTAATCTAGGCAATTACCTCCTAGACTGCTTCCTTCAGATGTTTTGCAGGGACTGGAAACAAAAACCCACTGAATATCTGCGTATCTTGGGGCAAGCATCCTCATAGGTAAAATATAAGGGTACTGCCTGATAATATCTGCAATCTCTTTTGGCTCAAAACTCTGTCAGTCAATGAAGGGTTAGAAATCTCCCACTAACTTCTTGTTTTTCCATCTCCACAGAGAATAGAGCAAGAGTTGATAAGTCTTGCAATCAGAATTGATTAAATGTTTAAGAAAAAACTTCTTAACTGAAGGACAATTAAACACTGGAATGGCTTTGCATGGGAGGCTGTAGAATCTTGCTCCATTGTGATCTTTGAAAAGAAGCAGGAGCAGTTATGGGCAATATAGATTCACAGAATGCTATCCTATAGTAGGAGGATTGAACCAGGGGGACTTTTGAGGGTCCAGATCCTGGGGATAAGTTCTTTTTGGTCTACAGAAGTGGAGGGAACTCCTTTTAGGAGTTGGTTCCAGTTCTCCAAGACTTTGTTATTATGTTGATATAGCCGTAAAACAGTCTTTTAAAAGTATCTTCTTAATACCTGAATTGAAATTACCTAGAATGACTGTTTAAAATGCAGATTCCTGAGCCCTATCCAAGATCTACTGAATCTGGAAGAGGATGCTAAGAATATGATGCACTTTAACAAGTTTCAAAGGTGGTCCTTATACACACTACAGTTTGAGAACTGTGGTCATTGAGAAATGAGAGTCTTTCTTCCGTGCCTAGGCATGGACCTGTAATGACTGTGTAGTCTTACATGTGGTGACTGAGGGCCCCTACCTAAGCTTATTTCCTGTAGGGAAGGTACCTGTGCTAAGAATGGAATGGGAGAAGGGGGAGATGCTGGAGGATTTAATAAGAAGTATTTGGTCAAGATGTTCTAGGCCAGGCGGAAGAGAGAGAAAGAAACTGGGGGCTGGGCGTGGTGGCTCACGCCTATAATCCTAGCACTCTGGGAGGCCGAGGTGGCAGAATTGTTTGAGCTCAGGAGTTTGAGACCAGCCTGAGCGAGAGCGAGACCCTGTCTCTACTAAAAATAGAAAGAGGAAGAAGGAAGCGACTCTTGACCTCTTAATGGTGAAGCCGTACAATGTCTACGTCACAGTTGCCTACCCGCCAGACACAGACACCCCTGGGCTAGCTGAAGAAAACAAAACAAAGCCTTTAGAGACTCGACTCATTTCAGAGACCTCATCTGTTTGCAAACCAGAACAGGTGGCCAAACAAATTGTTAAAGATGCCATACAAGGAAATTTTAACAGTTCCATTGGCTCAGATGGGTACATGCTCTTGGCCCTGACCTGTGGGATGGCTCCAGTAACTTCTATTACTGAAGGGCTTCAGCAGGTGGTCACCATGGGCCTTTTCCGCACCATTGCTTTGTTCTACCTTGGAAGTTTCGATAGCATAGTTCGCCGCTGCATGATGCAGAGAGAAAAATCTGAAATCACAGATAAAACTGCCTAATTCCTCCCCCTTGGAAGAAGACTGTTTCCAAATAATTTGAACATCTTGCTGCTAAATGGGACCCAATTTTTGGCCTATAGACACTTATGTATTGTTTCTGATTATGTGAGATTGGACCGGTGCTCTTCAGAAATATGGCTGCACGCAAGGAGATAGAAGCTCAACTCCAGACAATATCATTAATACTATGCAAATATGGAATAGGAGACCATTTGATCTTCTGGGCTTTGAGATGGAGAGGTGATGGTATGAGAACTAGTAGCATGTGAATAAGGTAAAGAACAGAATTCCAGAATGGTAATTTAACATTTTTTTTCTAATTATTTTTTACCCCCATAGAGATCTAGTCCAGAAAGGTACTTTATGGCAGCATAAGAAGTCTTGAGAATTTTTGTAACCTTCCATAAAAGGCAGTTTATGGGTTTCTGGGACTTTTTTTTTTTTAAGTTGGTATATTTTATTCAAGATTAGTTTTACTCATTGTCAGTGAGTCTGAATGTCACTGACACCTGTGCTGCTGGTGGCAACTCATGGCTTCTCTCTCTCTTTGATCCCATAAAGCCGCATGGGGGATGGGAGAGGGCAGTGCAGGTGGAAGGTAATAAGGAGATAGATATTTTCCAGCAGGAAAAGCAGTATTTTCTTGTCTTCTTTAGGTTCGACTGCATAGGGAACTTTTCATTCTTCTCTCATGGAGAAAGGCAGTCTCCTTAAATGTTTTCTGAAGAGAAATAAAATCTTAGAAGCTTAAAAGTTTACAGTTTCCTCAATAGCCATGATGACCTGAAGTTCACCTATTCCAGTTTAGTGTCTACTTGTTCTTCCCATCTTCCTTTCCAATTTTGCTTACATTGCTTTAATATTTTTGTAAAAAAAAAAAAAAGGACAGAAAAAAGACCAGCTAAAATTTTTGACTTTTTAAATTAATTCATGAATTAATTAAAACAAACAACAAAGAAAAAAGTGTGACATTCTTTTCATAGCGTATATGTAGCTTTTATGAAAGGCTGATGATTGTATATTTAAATTTTACTCATTAAGAAAGATGAGGCTGATTTTGAAGATACTCATTTTTGAAATGAAATAATCACCTGTTCTTTCTGTGACTCTCCTACTGACCCTAACAACGTCATCTTCATACCATATGTTAAGGAAGCCCATGTATCACTCTAACCATATAGCCCTGGAAATCCTCTTGGCCCTGTGAATGTTGTTTCCAGGTTGTAGGATCTGTTGCTTACTTAGTGGATTTCTACAGCAAGTGCCTACGATGAGTTTTAGCAAACATTCCTTGTTTCATCCTGTTCGTTGTACACACTCACACACTCTCCTCTGACTTAAGAATAATTACCTTCGTCTTGATGTTTCTCCTCCACCTTGCATATACAGTAGCACATTCCAGTTCACTTTGGGGAGAAAAGACCTCTGCTTTTGAAGAAGAAACTTTTTTATTGTTTAAAAAAAAAAAACCAAAAAAAACTATAACAATAAGATTGAAGACCTAAAAATTATAGCGAATCTTTTTTGCTCTTAAGTTTTTGAAGCTCTTGGTGACTTAATTGTTAAATAATAATTTGTGTAATGGCTTTAATCCATGGTATCCTTTTATCAAGATCTGAGAATGGCATATTTTAAACACTGACAAATACAGAAGAAATTATTATTTAATATATAAATTGCTTGGAATGACTTCATTACAGTCTACAGGGCTGGGTTGATGCCAAAATGGTTTCATGAATCTTTCAGTCTTACATAGCCAAAGTTCTCAAACTATATTGAGTTGCATTCTGCAGCCACTAACACATGATAATGGCTTTTCATAATTTGCAAAAAGCTATTACATTAATGTCTGGACATTTCTCAATTTTATTCTTTTCTCATAAATGTTCCTTGAATGTTGGCACCTTCTGCTGATCTGTATGAAAATCTACTCCTAGATGGGGTCTGATTTAATTAAATTAACTATTTAACCATAGTTATTTCAATATATATATTTTCATATTATCCTTAGAGAGAGTACTGTTCCCTCCAGGTAACCCACTGCCTAAACACATGTAAGAGCCCCTGTTCTGTAGTGGAATATGTTGCCCCTAACCCAGCATGAGAGCAGATTTGTAGAGCTAATGATGTTAGGCAAGGAGCTTCTTTATCAGAGATGTTAAAGGTCTACAGTCCCTTACCTAAAAAACTCAGAAATCTAAGTTGGCTGGTTTGGTTTTTCTAAATTTGATGCCATAATTCATTTGGTAGTAAAACCTGATTTAAATTGATGTGAGATTATTGTACTTTTTTTATTTATGCCACTTCATGTGACTATTTGTTAATTTTACCAGAAGAAATATCAGTGGGTTTGATGACAGATATTTGGAGTTTCATAATATTCAAAATATGCTCAGATTACCTTTTTAAAACGCAAAAATCATGAATTCTGAAACACATCTGGCCCATGGGTTTTGGATAAGGGATCGTAGACATTTAAGAAGCATCGCACAATGGTCTGACTTCATTCAAAACATAAAAATATTACAAAGCAAATTATATTTTTAATCTTTTTTGGCTCAATTCTTGTACAACTTGTTTTTTGCGAGGGGAAGAAAACAAAACAAAACCCTGAGTCTGATTGTTAGGGAATCGATTATTATTATTATTTTTTTTAAGGATCACATTGATTCAGGACGTTCTACTGGACCTAGAAATGGATAAGTCTTTCCTGTGGCAGTAGAAGTTCAATTATAATTCTGTTGGCTTTGTAAATGTGACCCTACAACAGATTATTATGTGAATTTCAGTTCAGAAGTGCCTGCTCTTTGGTTTGGTTGTACTATTTTATTATGTATTTGTAAGCATATTTATTTAGAAATTAACATCATTCAGCCATGGAAATTCTAAAATATGTTCAAGGACCCTTCATAATTAAAACATGTATAGAAAACAATCCTCATTTCTTTTTTAAAAAAACAAAATCATGAGAATTACTCTCTTCTGTATATTATAAATCTTTATCTGGATCTGTTAAACCATATATTATTGATCCTTGCAAGTGAAACCTAGGGAGACTTTCTAATGTTTATATTATGAAAGAATTTTGGTAACAGTTGCTTCCGTTTGAATAATTATATGTCTTTTTCTTTGTAGAAGAAGGTAATACCATAATATTTTGCTGAATTATATCAACAGATTTAATTTTATTACATCATGTTATAATATAAACGTATTACTCATTTGAGGTCACTTTTAAATATTCATACTTTTTGACATAAGATGCTTTGTATCTTTCTCATTTCCTTTAGTTCTAAGTAAGTCAGCTTTAAAAAGTACCTGCTAACCATAACTTTCCATGTTTCTGACTAAATTTTTCAGTTCAGATTATAGTTCAGTATGGTGACTATAAATTTGGTATTTTGAGGAGGAGATATAGTAGCTGTTATATTTTACACTTGCTTGATGTGACAACTCTAAAGACATTTTTAAATTGATAAAAGTGTACATGGCTATTTTGATACATATTAGAACTTGTGTTTGCTACTTTAGAAGCTTTTGTGGCAGAATTGTAACCTAACTTTCATATCTTGTATTTCTGAATCACAACAAAAAATAAATGGAGAATAAGCTTTAAAAAAAAAAAATAGAAAGAAATGAGCTGGACAACTAAAAATATATGAAAACATTAGCTGGGCATGGTGGCACATGCCTGTAGTCCCAGATACTTGGGAGGCTGAGGCTGAAGGATTGCTTGAGCCCAGGAGTTTGAGGTTACTGTGAGCTAGGCTGATGCCACAGCACTCTAGCCTGGGCACAGAGTGAGACTCTGTCTCAAAAAAAAAAAAAGAAAAGAAAAAAGAAAAAAAGAAACTGGGGTCTACTGCTTTCTATCCATTGCCAAACACTCCTATTACAATTTTATTGTCCTTATGTCCTGAAACCATTTCTCTCCCTCTTTTTTTTTTATCTTCTTAAAGTTTTCTACCAAGTCTTTTTATTTTTTTAATTGAAGATGCCTTTATTAAGCAAAAATGAAGGATTTTTTCCATTCCACCATCAGGAGAGACTGGCGACCCAGAATATCCCAAGCCGCTATGGGGCAGACAACCATCCCTTCTCAAAGTTTCTGGAAAGAACCAGAGGAACTCATGACTATAAAATAGGAGAAGAGCTCAGGGCCAGCTAGGAAGCAATTCAGTGTCATTGAATGTTACAAAAGGAATCCAAAGGAACCCAGTATTCCAAACTTCCATTTTGACCCTGTATTTTAAGAGTTGTTGTTGTGAAAGTCCTTGATAAGGAAGATTTATGAAGGAAGGACTATTGGAAAGAATATTTCAGACATCCCGTCCACGGTCACTGGAGATTATGCTGGAGCAGTTTCCTCCAGCTGATTTTGTGGGTTATACCTCAGCTCTGGGTCACTTTTGAGTTCCTCTCAAGATTTCTGCCAAGCCTTGTGTTGCCTGTCCCTCTCTTCCTGTCAGCATTTACATGTCTTTCACTCTCTTCAAATGACCTCCTTCTGGTGTGTGACTCTTTCATCACAGGATATCCCATGCCTAGAACTCTTCTTATCCTCCTCAGGTGTTTTTTGCCTCCTTTGAAGTAGATGCAGGATAGGAAACTGGCTTCCTTGACCTTTGTCTCTTCTGACTTAGACACAGAATGCTGGCCCTGTCTCTTGCGTTGCAGTCAACTTGGGGTCAGGGGAATAGCCTGCTTCTTGCAAACTGTGCACTCTGAAACACGCTGGAGTTTACGGTTTGAGCACATCTATAAGCCATGTCAGCCCATTTGGGATAAACCCCTCTCTAAGGCCAGGCCCATGAAACTTGCCCCAGAGAAAGCTACAGCCAGTCTTTGCTGATGGTGATTCCAAACTGGTTCTAAAAGTTTCTTCCAGTAGATTGACACAAAACAAATTTTTCCCCTGGCAGAGCAGCTGGGTTTGATTTAGGTTACTTGACTACAAAAGCCCTAAGGCCAAGCATTTATTTAGAAATATTAGGAATTTGCAGCACGAATGAGACTGAGTTTTTGTGAAAAGTTGAAGATTTCTCATTTAGGGAGGGAGTTCACAAAAGGCCCCATTAGCCAAGCCTTGCCAGTAATTAGTATGATTTCTCAGGCAAAAGGCAGGCTAATTGTCTGCCATCCATTCTAAAAGACAGAGACACTTTATAATGTACCACACATTGAAAAATATCCTTGGAGAATTTTCTGCTATGTCTGAAGTCTTTTCTATTTACTAAATGTTCAAACTCAGATCAATATATGAATTTATGAACTGAACTGATTACAGCAGGGTATTGTTTTCTGAATTGGACTTAGGATGGGATCATATCTGGAGTTTGTCCTCTCTAGAGCCTTGTTCTGAGCCTGATGTTGGGCAAAACCAAACCATGGGTGAAGCTTGCCTATCTTCATGCACCAACCCTGCCTTCGGCCCTCTTCAGTCCATGAAGCCCAGTGACCCCCAAAGTGGGTGCTGTCATGGAGCATTTGCTTCAGAATTATAGGCAAGTTCAAACTACTTCCCAGCTCATGACACTTCATAAGCCTGAGTAGTTTCACAGAGATACAGCCTCATAGCATCTTTGCCCTGGTTCAGAAGTTTCAGACTTTTAAGAATATATGACTATTGGCATAACTGCAGCTATATTTTTGCACTTTTTATTTCAACAATGACTTCAAACTTACAACAAAGCTTCAAAAATAAAAATAGTACAAGGAGCACCTCTATTGTCATCATTATACTCAACTTGCTTTATTATTTGCATGTTTCTCACTTGCTACACATATAGACATATATAATGTAATTTTTTTCAGAACCATTCGAGGGTGAGTTACATGCTTCCTGGCCCCTTACTCCTACATTTTTCAGTGTGTATTTCCTAAGAAGAGGGATATTCTAATACATAACCATAATACTTGACAAAGTACTTTATCTAATCTACCCTCCATATATCACTTCTGTTAATTAACTTATTAATTATCTTTATAACATTTTTCCACTGTCAGTACAGGATTCGGTGCAGGGCCGGGTATTGCATTTTGTTGTCATGTCTCTTTTGTCTCCTTTAATCTGGACTTTATGGTGTTGACCCCTCCACCAGACC